TTTTCATTGCTAGTTCCAAACAAAGACACCTTATCAATTTATTTGACAAATAGATTCGTTTAAATCAAGGATTATCTAGTTTTAATTCGAACCTATGTTACGAAGATTTCATGATACAACCTTATTATAACTAAGATGAGACTATAATTTATGGACGAACCAATCGTTTATAGCTGATGTAAGTGCGTGATGAAAGCCCTAAATCTAATTCCCAACCTTAATCATCAAATGCAAATCATAATTCTAATTATTCACATAGATTGATATAACTCATTTGGTCCTGGTTATTAGGTGGACACTCTCAAGGTTAGTTCAGCATCCCTCTAAGGTAGTTCATAAGTTACAATCTCATCATAACTAGTGTTGTGGAAAAAAGAATGATCGTTGGAAAACCAGATATAATTATCCTGTTTAAATTTATTTTCAGTTAACTGTATAGAATGATAACCTACTTGTAAGTTGATGGTTGAATTCACCCTGAAATCCTAGAAGCACTGGATTGCTATTTCGTTCTAGTATAGGACTCCTCAGCAGTGCACATCCACAAAATTCGAACCTGCGACCTTCGATCTCGCACTCGAATTTTTATAATGAATGTGAGGAATACAATACGACAGATATTTTGAAATGATTCATTTTTGAAATTGATATCATGAGAGAGATCACTGGCGAGACTATAATGTATGGAATAACCAGTCACCTATAAGATTACAGGTCTCGCATTTTAGAACGAAATTCACTCATCCATTTGGCTAAATAGAGTTTTGGTCTTATAGTTGATGTAAGTTCGAGATGAGAACCCTTAATCTAATTTCTAACCTTAACCATCAAATGCAAATCATAATTCTAATTCTTCACATAGATTGATATAACTCATTTGGTCCTGGTTATTAGGGTGAACACTCTCAAGGTCAGTTTAGCATCCATTTAAGGTAGTTCATAAGTTATAGTTTCATCATAGTTAGTATTGTAGAAAAAAGAATGATCCTTGGAAAATTTATTTTCAATCAAATCCATATTCCTACCATATATTCATATATACTATTATCATCATTTAATTGTAACTCATTATGAAATTTTGTAACAACAAATTAATAATAACAAATGTGTTTACGTTAACGACCGACAAGAAAAATGTCAAATTGGTAACATTGGAATGTTTTGTTTCTATTAAGCAAAATAGAAAATAATGAATTTATACTGTATGCATGATTCTATTTTGTGAACGAACTGAATTTACTTATCAGCTACAAACATCATCGAACGGGAACATTAAATGTTTGTCTTATTTTTCACCTTATTAATAAAACATGTTAGATTCCAATCTAAGTATTTCAAAGGCACTTTTATGGTGTGTGCTACTTATATCAACATACACAAGTAGTATGTAACACCAATCAGAAGTGGAGTGCATGGCAGTAGAAGACTAACACAACTGAGTTGAAGAAAACAGAAAGTGAAATGGAAAAGTATTGTGAATTGGAGGAATCTTATAGAATGTGAAAGACAGTTAATGGAAGATTGAAAATGAAGTATTTAATGTAGGCTGGCCTGCTTGAGCATCTGGGCTACCTGTTCCTGCCATCTAGATATTTCAACAAGTTATCTATTTTTGTTTGTTTTATTATATCATTATGTTTATTAATCGCATGACCTATTCTGCTGCGTTTTGAAAAGCGTACAATCTTTCGCTGTCGAAGTTACAAAAAACTCAGTAAGAGACAATGTGGTTGCTGGCAATATACAACGAAAAGAATGTACATTATTCAGATGTTCATTTATTGAACTGCTAACATCTAACTGGCGATCACTCGATATTTATCGCCAGGACCGATCAAGAAGAAAGAAACGGAAACTTATTGAATTCTATATTGTACTAAAAATATAATATTGAATAAAGCTGATAATAATAATAATAATAACAGGCCTCTCATATTTTACGACTGTATTCTGTAATTATGTATCAAACAATAAATTACTTTACCTCACTTGAGTCTTCGTTAATTACACTATCAATTTCTGAATAATATTTAAAAACAAAGTACTTTCTAAACAACGTTTGATTGGTAACTTTTTATTCCTACGTCAAATGGATTTAATATTCACTTTCTGGTTTACAAACATTGGTTTTAAAGTAAAACAACAAAAAAGGTCTATCCAAATTTGATTAATCACTTTTTTAAAACTAACAATCTTTAGGTCATATTCAGGTCATAAAATATTTAAATTCATGATAAAAAGTATAGATACCGTTGCCTAGCAATTTGTAATGTGTAGATATTTCAGCTTTACTCGTGTTTTATGGGTTAGACTCCAAATTGAAATATAAGTTGAATTTATCTATTAGTCAAGACATGATAATCATATATTTGACATTTTAATAAAACATGAATTGTAACACTTGAATTCTAGAGTCAATCTTGGCTAGACTACCATTCGATATCCTGAAAGCATTGGATGACCGTTTTGCCATTGTATGGGACTCCTCACTAGTCTGCATCCACGATCCTTTACATGAGACTGGAACCCAGTACCTCCAGACTCGTGCACGAACACCTAACCTCTGACCACTGAGCCGGTATCCAACGGTGTAAATGTCAAATTCCATTTGATCCATAATCTTGTGCAATCCTTCATCTATTGTCTGAGGTGGATTACTGTCACACAACCAACATGAATTTAACTCTACTGGTCACGACTTCTCACTAGAACTCTAGGAATTCCATCTTGAAGCTTGCCACTTACCTCCATTCTGAAAACCATGAATTAATGTTTTTTCACGTAAATATATATACATACAAGAGATCGGTTTAAAAACTGATAATTTCATTTCGTGATTTAAAAATAATGTTCAGTACAGGTTATAAAATTGTGATCTATATTTGTTATAGACTTTTAAAAGGTATGTCACAGTTTCATTTACAAAATTGACTAATATTTTGCGAAACTTATGGAAAAGTTCATTCACAAGATTTTCAGAATGATTAATATCTAATGAACATGTACCTAAGTAAATATCTCAATAGTTCACGTCTAAAAATAATTTAGAATCAAAGGTATATTATAGAAGCTGCACCGTTCTACTTATTTTTTTCACAGTTTCATCTATCTTTATTTCAGTTTAGGTTCGGAAACAGTTACTTTAATGATATCTAAACTCTGTGACATACCGTCAAAATTCGGTTTCAAGTTACCCTGGGAGTTGATAACAAAACCTTGTTGATGTTTAATAGCAATCAATAATTTTAAGTTTAGTGATTTATTTTGATTATCTTAAACGGATATGAACAAATACTATGCACTTTGGCTTATGCCTTAACTGCAAACATGATGCAATCATCTCTAAGGAACTAAACAACATGATATTCATCTTTTTACGGCGGCTGATTCATGTCTAATACACTTTTGGTTGTAATTCACTTTGATAACAGAGTTTGTTGTGTTTTATTTTCAGTGCAAGGAGTGTGTTCTGTTCGTTTAAGTACAGTATCTATCAGACTATTTTGTGCTGTGTTCTTCTTCTTATTCTTATTATAACGAACATGCAGAAAGAAGTAGAGGACTGACTCCTTCATTAATCCCATAATGATTTATCTTTAGGCTTTTCTTTATTGGCTAACCTTCTTTCATTGATAGTTATAATTTATTGACATTTGCACATACATTAGTAGGGTTTATACGGTTTCCAACTTACCAGTTCATAAGTATTGCACAGTTTCACAGTAAACAAAATAAAAAAAATCATTTTAGGTAAAGCTGTTTAATAAACTAAGCCGAATTCAGTTTACCAACAATCGCTATTTTCATCTAAATTGAAAAAACTTTCATTTTGGTATTTCATTACCATTTATCGAACGCTGGAGGAAAAATAAAAGTTCCAGATCTGTTGTTGATAAACTTCACATGATTGCAGAAAGAAACTTACAAAAATAATAAATACTTTAATTTTAAATGATATACATGGGTTGTTTGGAACTTCCCACTGATCTTTAGAGCTACAATTGATCAGTCCCGTATTGGCATATATGTATCCTGTGCGAATTGTCTCAATATTATCTTCAGTCATAGGGATTTTAAGCAAAAGTGGATGGCAGCTAGCAGTAGAATCCAGAACGTGCCTTTCATCTTATTTGGGACTCATCAAATGGATGTACCTGTATTCCAGAATGGATATTTACTCTTAGACTTGAACACTTTCCGTTCATTTTAACCACTATCACCTTATCCATTCAGCTACTTAGTCTTGATATCAAGGCAATTCGCACAGAATGCACATATATCAACAAGAGACAGAATAATTTCAGTCCTAAACAACAATGTGTAAATACTAGCAAACAATACTAAATGAAATATCATGCTTTTTTTCACGGACTAATTTTATGCTACATTTAGAAATGTGCTAAATGTTGCACTGAACTGAAAAATATCTTAAACATATTGACTATTCTGAATAGTTTCATTCAATTATTTCACAGATTTATTCACCATATATATATATTTTACATGTGAATTACATATACACTCTTCTGTTAAACAAAATGTCATATTAAAAAAAGAAATTATTTATATACAATAAAACAGATTACTCTTCAGTTTCCTATTGGTCAATTGCATTGTCCAATGAAAATTAAGCATCCCTATTTGTCTTTTATTTGTTATCTTTTGAATATGAAAGTAATCTTTATAAAATGAATTGAACATTCCATTATACAACTGGGATATATATATATATTCTTTGCATATTTGGTTACATTTTCATATACCCTACTCATTATTATATACATTTCAAAAGAGGAAAACAAACAAATATGTTATGTATATATATTATGAGCAATACATTTATCATTGCTCATTCATTCCATAATCATGAATAATAATAGTACTACTACTACTAATAATAATAATAATTCTATGAATTACACCTTATGCAATCATCATTCTGTTTGTATTTATCTTTATATTTCTATTTCATAATTATATTCATAATTAATATCAAAACAATGAATAATTCAATGAAAGAAATTACATTTTATATAAAAGAACATCCTGAATTCAATACATTCATAGGTAATATATATAAATCAAATGAATTATTTAATAGTAGTTTTATAAGTAGTATACAATTAGAAACAATCAATTTTAAATATTCAAAATGTTTTCGTATTGATCGTTATACTGGTAATTTATATACAACTATTGATGCTAAATATTTATTAGATAATGAAAAAATTTGTATTAAAAATAAAAATTCTAAAATTATATTTAATCAATTCTATCATAATATAACACAATATTGTTCAATTCATCTTATTATTACAATTAATCATCGTTTATTAATATCGATTATGATACAAATTGAAGATATTAATGATAATTCACCAATATTTCTAAATGATGATCGTCACCATAGTGATAATAATACAGAAATAATTTATATTAATGAAACAGCTTTACCGGAATATACTAAAATTCCATTGAAACCAGCTTATGATCCTGATTTTAATGGATATAATAAATTATATTATTATTTAACACTTATTATAGATCCTGAACAAAAGAAACAACAATCATTAGTTCAATCTATGAATATTCATAATCCATTTCGTCTACATAACAATGATGATAATGATAATGATAATGATGATGATGATGATGGTATAATAACCCATTTCAATGAATCCTATCAATCAAATAATTTATATCTTATATTAATAAAGCCATTAGATTATGAAATTCAATCAGAATATCAATATAATTTGACTGTATGTGATAATCGATTAAATCAATTATCAATTATTGATTTATATATCATACATTGTACATGGAAATTAATAAAAATTTATATTAATAATATGAATGATGAATTACCATGGTTTCAACAAACGAATTATTCTATTATAATACATGAAAATTTTTTAATTGGTAATGAAATAATAAAAATGACAGCTAGAGATAATGATTCTATACCATATAATAATATAAAATATCGTTTAATACCTAGTCATGATATGATTTTATTAAATAATGAAAATTTATTTCATATAGATACGAATACTGGGATAATAATACTTAATCAATCAATAAAAAAACCTGGTATCTATCGATTTTTAGTTGAAGCATATAATGATGATTATATTTATAATCATATTCATAATAATAATAATAATCAATATTTATCAACAATCGATCATCTATCATTGATTAGAAATGATTCAATGAAAGATTATAAAAATATTGCCAATGTACAAATTCATATTATTGATGTCAATAATCATGCACCAAATATAGAAATTCAACAAACTCAAGATACTTTAATATACTACTTAAATAATAATAATAATCATACTATTCAACATATCAATAATTCAAAATTAATTTTATTAAAAATTCCAGAAACATTATCTCTTAATACACCTATAGCATATTTTAAAATTACTGATAATGATGAATTAGATAATGCTGATATTAAATGTCATTTAATTCGATCCAATGATAATGATCCATTTATTTATACTTATTATGATAATCATAAAAACCAATATGAATTAGATATGTTTCAATTAATATTTGTAAATCGTATTAGTGATAATACAATTATTATTAAATTAATTTTATCGAAAAATTTAGATGCAGAAAATTTATCAAAAAATTTATTATTAAATAATAATATGAAATTGACTTTTGAATTAGAATCCATTGCTGGTTACTATGGTTTATTATTTAGTTGTCATGATGATGGTATACCACAATTAACTACATCTATACCAATTATTATAGCGATATATGATATTGATGAATATTATCCAAATATTAAATTTATCAATACATCATTATGTAATACATGGCAACTAAAATCATCCATAAATCATTCATATATATATGATATAAATATCAATGAAAATATACCAATTCATTCACAAATTTTAACATTAGATGCAATTGATGAAGATATAACATCGAAATTACAATTTATACAACAAACATCAAAGTTATCCATACCATTTAGTATTGAAAAATATAATGGAATTATAACCAATAATGATTTAATTGATTATGAATATAATAATTATTATCAAATGTATATTAGTATCTATGATGAAAATAATTTACAAAAATCACTTGTTACTAAGGTATTAATTAATATATATATTAAAGATTTAAATGATAATTCACCAGAATTTATTATATCACCATTAAATGATATACAATATGATAGTAATTCATTTATAGAACCAATTCAATATCATATGAATAATTTACGAATTATTGAATTAGAAGAAGAATTAATACAAACTAAACCAATAGGTTATGTTAAAGCCATAGATCGTGATACTGGTAAAAATGCTGAAATTATATATTTTATTGCAGAAATTTCATATCAATTCAATAATACAAATCAAATTGTCAATGTTATTATCAATCAAACAATGAACGAAAAACAAATATTGAATACACCAAAATTATTAATCGATTCAAATGGTGCTTTATGGTGTGAAAATAAATTAGATAGAGAAATAACACCAATGATTGATTTATTGATTGGTGCACATGATCTTGGTGAACCTAAATTAACATCTTATACAAAAATTCGTATATTAATTAATGATATTAATGATAATAATCCAATATGGCAATTTCCCACAGAAACTGATTTTTAGTTTATGTACCAAAATCAATAACTATTGGTAAAGTGATTACTAGAATACATGCTATTGATAAAGATGAATTAACTAAAAATGGTCATATTACTTATTATATATATAATCCAAATAATAATAATACAATACATAAATCTAACTTGGATATAATTTCACAAAATATTATTTCACAATTTTTTATATTAAATTCTAATTCAGGTGAATTAATTGTAAAACATTCATTAATTCATTACCAGATGGATTTCTTGATATTTGGTTTAAAGCTAAAGATAATGGTAAAATACCTAGATATTCCATTGCAAAATTAGTATTATACATAACTACTATTAATAATAATCATGATCATTTTTTAAATTTGGATAATCCACAAAAATTAATTAGTTACTATGAAGAAAATAAAAATACTAAAGATATTACTATACAATTACATTCCATGGGAAATTTCAATGAGATTCTTCCTATGAAAATGAATTTGAATTCAAATCATGTATATATCACTACAACACCATTCTATAAGAATAATATTAAAACATTATCATTATTAATTAGTGGTTCAATTGTTGGTATCATTATTATTATTATATTCTTAATATTATTTATTATATGTTTTAAATATAATTCATATTATCATAATCATAATCCGAATGTAAAATGTAATTCCATGACACAAATCAATACAATAGAATGTAGTAATAATGTATCAATGAAATTAACGAATAGTAACTATGCTAAAGAGAATCATTGTCCGGAATCTAAATTAAATTATGAAACATTACCAACTACCTCAAATATGAAATTAATGAATAATAATAAAAATAATGAAGAAAATCAATGTCATGATCAAATAAATAAAGAATTAGAAAACCATAAAGAGTTGAATAGATCCATTAATACATCATTATCCATTAATGATACGACTATTCAAACTTATATACCAATGAATTTCATGAGAAATTGTAATGAATTACATTATTCACCGATTACATCAGTGATTGATATATCCGATAAAATTCCAATACATTTGCTACATGTATCAAATGATACTTTTGCTGTACCATTATGTATGACACATGATATTACAACTAGTAATCATCATCATAATAATTATTGTCATAATCATAATAATAATAATGATTATACTACTATTGAACATAATAATAATCATGAAGAAGAACTAACAACACATCCTCTTACAATTGTTGCTACAGTTGTATCAACAGATAATATTAAACAAGGTTTATTACCAATTTTAACAGAACAATCAAATAATAATAATAATATAGTTGATATTACAAATAATAAATTATATGAAAGTGATCATTTTATGAAATTAGAAGATTTAACACATTCCGATGCATATTACACTACATACACTCCTTGTTTATTGAGTACAACTGATGAAAATACCTCATGAACTATGAATATATTGGATTCAATACTGACATATATATGTATATATATAGAGAGAGGGGGGTAGAGAGAGACAGATATATATATATATATATATATATATATATATATATATGTATAAATTAATATCTAATCCTAGTAACTACTGCTTTTTACTCATTTAGACACTTCTTTTTTTAGAAAAAAAAATAATGAATTAACAACAATTTTTTGTATGTCATTGTATGTGTATCTCTTAGGGAGGGTGATAGATTTGTACAGAATAATTAATAAGGTGAGTAAATTGTTCACAGTGATAAATAGTTGAATGTATTTTGTATTTTTTAAAGAAGAGGAATAATAATAATATTGTTGAATGAAATATTCTATAGTTCTCGTTCGTTTGTTTGTTTTTTATTATTAACAAAATCCGTTTATTTCAATCTACCAATTATTGTCTGCTTTATTTATGAATTAAGAAAAAAGGCAGAAGTGTTATTTGAAAATTTTTAATTGAATAACTGACTACTGAATAATCAGTAATATATATAATTTCAGTGAAGTGAAACATTGAACAATATAGCAACATATTTTACGTGACTATATATATATGGGGCATTCATGCAGAGTATTGGTTAATTAGATGATTTAGAGGTGATATTTCATCTGAAGAGTCTCATTCTAGGACGAAACGTCCGTCCAGTGCTTCTATGTTTTCCATGATGATCTAACTTTAATTGACTCATGAATTCAATTATTTAATTACTATAATTATTCACAAAACCCCTTGCTAATTATAATATTTAAAAGCCAGTTGATATATAATGGGAATACAATAGAAAAAAGGAAGGGTATTCAACTTAACTGGAAAATAAAATTTGTCAATTATCTTACAATGTTTAGAAAAATTGTTTTTTTCTAGTTACTAGGAATAAATCAATCAATTTGTCAGGGATCTGAATAACATTTCTTAGATCATGTATAGCAAGAAAAAAAACAGAGAAAACTTTGAAAAAAAGGTGTCTTAAAGTTTTCTTGTAGATAAATATGAATCCTGAAATTGATTTTGTTTCGATGTATTTAGTAATGATGTAATAGATCAGCTTTACATATTATGTAATAGTCGAAGTTATTCATTGTATTAAAATGAATAATATATACAAACTATCTCTCCAGATTTATAGCTAACAGTGAAATTCAGGATCATAATTTCTTTCTTTTTGGTTTGTATCAAAATGTGATCAGGATTTAGGAAAAGGAAAAATATGATACTTTTTTATTGCCGTCCAGTCACTATTCACTAACATATATCATCTGTCTTTCTTAGCATCAAGTAGAAGAAACTGTTGTGGTAATGTGTTTGTCTTTTAATTAGATAAGTATTTTTAAAGATCGTTTTTAAATTAAATAAAACCACCGTTTAATATCATTTTTTAAAATATTCGGTAAATGTATGCTTATTTGTTCTACCGTTTTTTGGCTTAGTGTTTATCACACCTTAAGTTTCTTACTGTTATTCTGTTGTTGAATTCTTTGAGATAGATGATTAGACTGTACAGCATTCGCTGTCGTTCTAGACAATAACACCAGAGCTTATTTTATTCACAAATGATCTTTCCAGTTATTTCATAAGGATTAAATCAGTGTTCTTTTGTTAGTTTAATGGTTTGTTAACTTGGTAGATTTCTGTTTTGATTTGATTTGCATTTAACTTCATTATCTTGTTCCGTATACATCCCGTCATGTCGTTAAGTGTTGTTTATTTATTGAGTTTGTAGATTGTGTTCGTCTTGTTGTGTCTGTTGATCACTGACTAATTTGAACACTATAATTTCAAAGATTTTACATTATTCTTAAGATTCCCTTGATTCATAATCTAGACGTTTTACTAGTCAACCTAACCTCTTTAAATGATTGCTTATATCGACGTCAGTAAAAACATGCCTAGTCGTATCAATGATTGTTATTGTGCATGCAAAATTTGTAACACGTCCACTTGGTCAATATAGTGTTTATTGCAGAGGGTGGTTTGTGAAATATTTTCTATAGATGTTCGAATTATCGTTTTTTTAAAACTAAAAGCACCCACTTAAACTCTAAATCTTTCTACTGGGCTTGAAATGACATAGTTCTATAATTCATAACATTAATGGTTATTTATATATGTAACACTTATAGCCTCCATTACCTTCCTATAAAATGGTGGAAACAAATGATTAGACTGTTTAGTTTTTATAACAAATGTGTAACAGATTTTTTTGGATCAAATTTGAATATTCGATATAATGAAATGAAAGTTACCTATTTGAATTCCACAACATTCCAAATCATTTATTCTCTTATTTAACTATTTTTCAGTACATTTGTAATATTATTCTGTTTAAAGAGCTTTATTTTACAAATTTCCGCATGTGAAAATGTCTAGTAATTTACATTGTAATGAAGAAGAACACAGGTGAGGACAACCGAGTTATGTTTATCACAACATTACTGAGCTACTTGGCAAAATAGAGAAACCATACTATAATACTTAATTTTCAAAATGTTCAATAATTGTATTGGACTTCATTGTTCTTGCATTTCTATACTAATTGCTTTCTATTCCCGTCCTTCCTTTCTTGATCTTCCCAATCTTCTGCTGTCAGACATTACATTCCTGACTCGCATTATGTACTACTTATGTCAGTATAAGTAGCACTCACCACAACATCAGAAACTAAACCTAGTTAGATAACCATTACAAATCACGGGCTACTATTACATTCTAGTATCGGATTGTTCAGCACTGCGAATCCACGACCTCACTATCAGGATGAGCGATCAACTTTTAAATTATTCAATAAACATTTAACGTTTTAGATTTTTGACTTTTTTTTTTCTTTATATTAAACTACTACTAATCAAATGTTTGACACATCAACAGTTATGGTTTTTTTTACCAAACCTTTTAGGTTCTATTTTCGTAAAGTTTATGCATATAAATTATTCAAGAATTTTATATCTAGACAAAACCATCGCCATATTCCTTATGGTTATTCAACCCAATTTCATTCTTTATATAAACAATATTTTAATTTATAGATTTTTTTACGATACACAATAAATCGTAAAATAAACGTATCGCAGTGTATTTGAAAAAAAAAACGGGTGTTCAAATATAAACACACAACAAATAAACAAAACCAAGAGAGAGAAAAAAAGTTGAGAGAAAAACAAGTGAAAAGGAAGATACAAAAAGAAATTAGATTTAGTCTTAAAAAGAAAAATTATTCCTTCTTGTTTTTTCTTCAAAATAACATTTGTAAAAACAATTTTTATGAAATTCTATTTAAACTACTGAAATTTGAACTGTTTCAAATAGTGTATAAATTAGTCAACTTACAATAGGTAAACATTAAGATTTGACTAGTTAAAATATATATTATTTCAACAGTTAAGATCATGAGCTAATTGAAGCTAGACCATTATGGAAAACCAGAACAGTTATTTTGTCTTGTTGTAGGACTCTTCAGCAGTGTGCATCCACGATCCCGCTTTGGGAGATTTGAACCCAGGTCTGTTGTGAGATAGTAGCTTACTGAAGACAGTGTTGGATGCGTCGCTCGATTTCGTGGATCAGTTGAAGATAGACATTAACACGGTAGGATGACTGCTCCATGGTCTAGAGATTGAGTGTTCGCGTGTGAGACCTATGGGGCTCGCGAGGAGGGATCGTGGATGTGCACTGCTGAGGAGTCCCACAATAGGACGAAACGGCTTTCCAGTGATTCCAGATTTTCCATTGTTTTCTAGCTTCAACTGTCTCATGATCTCAACTATTAGTACATACTAAACTATCCACAAAACCCTTCTGATACATATATTATAATCGAAAACCACTGTTATGGTTGGATACATCTATGCTCATTTTTGATGTATACTGTGATATACTGAGATATATTTACATTGGATACAAGAACATCTATTTTATAGGTGTGTAGAGGTTTTGATTTTTCATACATGAATAGAACAATTACATACGTTAACCTCATTTTTGTGCTCTCATAGTTGTTATTATCTGATATTAAAAATCTTTATAGTTAACAATGTGATGATCGTAATATTTGCATTCAGTTGTCTATCTTTTGACAAACTACGTGATGTTTGCTTGGTAACTCATGTTTTAAATATGAGCTGCATATTACTTTTACTGAAAGACATAAGTAGTACTTAACACTAATCTGATATAAAATCCTTGTCTGAAGGAGTTTGAGAAGAGTGAACTGAAAAAAAGAACACAACAGAAATGGAAACATAAATGAATTGAGAATTGGATAAATCATGAAAAGTTTAAAGAAGAAATGATGGGAGATTTGCAAATAACGTATTTGATGCATGTTTTTAACATTTTATCAAACATCTCTATACTTTTGCATTATATAATTAGTATTCTCCACTTCACTGTTAATTCATTACAAATATCCTAGCGGTAGAACTAGTTCAGAATGTTTTTAACTAGAGACTATCAAACTACTGATATGAATAAGAATTTAGTCAAGAATAGTAAGGTTTAATAGTAAGGTGTTATTTCTAAACTATTAAGATTTTATCTAACGGTTAACATTACCAACTTCCCTCCATTCTCAATATAACATTAATAATGTAATAAGGAAACTGTTACGCACAGTTTTTCTTAAGGAGTGTTTCTGAAAGTGTTCATTGAATTAGCTAAGATCTATTTGTAGTTGATTTCGTATTAAATCAATAATGATTTATACAAAAGTGGATAAATCTATATTACAATCTATCTATGGTGAACAAGTTATATACAGATCTATATATATTAAGATACATTCGAAATTTCATTGTTACAATCAACTATATGCTTATTCCCTGAGGTCATGTATTTTTACATATTACATAGTTTCTTGTTCACATTTTCAAAGTAAATACGTTTTGTAATGTTTCAAATGATTATAAATAAACAATTCCCTTGATGTTGTTTTAGCTAAATCAACTATAATTACATTTAATATGTGTCTAGTA